TTGCATTAACAAGTTGCATTTTAACACGTTAATTAAAACGACATATCGAACATTTTGATAAAATGTATAAGCACTGGCGATTATTTTCGCTTTCTATTGTCTTTACAGTAAACAGATCAGAAGAAAAATAAAGGACAAGGGATCATATTGCAATTGCTGTGTGGAAGAAATATTTTGAAGAAGATACGACTGTATTATGGAAAAATACAGATTTAATTTGGGTTCACATCTTAAAGGATTGATTACAAAATTGTTGCTATATATGTTTTACACAAAAAATATAAAACATTCTCAGAGAAAGAATGAAAGAAATGTTGCACGCTGATATGGAAGAGTTGCAAATCGACTCTATGTATTAACACCTATAAGGTTTTGCGGATATAAGGGGCTTAAAAGAATTTAAAATAGAGTATTGGATGTAACTTGTCAGCATTTAGAAAACAAAATGTAAAAATTGCTGTATTAATTAATAATGTTTGGAAGCGGTATATATTGCATTTAAAGTACTAAGAGTCTAAAGTTATCTCTAGACTTTGCTATCCACTTTATTAAAACATTTCAGATACTACATCTTAATCACTCATCTGGAACTTTGTCTCACGATAATTCTTGCAATGCATGTTTTCTAATGCCTCATCTCTTTCGCTACGCTAAAACTGAACTGCCATGTACCTTTTCATTTTTTATTTTGTTATTACACATATTTCAAATGCATTAAACAAGTTTTCAATGGAGGCATATCTGCTAGAAACATCATTGTGATTTTATGTCCAATAGATGATCGCAGCATTATAATACTAGTTAACCCACATACTGACGTTTTGACATTGCCTGAAAATTTGGTCGCATTTCACTCATAGATATCTTTCAATACTCTAGTCGTGCAATGCACTTCATTAATCCAATTTGTCTGACGACGGAATGATATTTTATGGGCAATGAAAGCTGTATTGTGTGCAATAGTTTATGGAGTGTGAACAGACAGAACTAAATAGCCACGGGCAAATAAGGAAGATAAAGCAAGATTGTGGAATAAAAAATAATGATGCTACAAGAACACATAGATACTCATTTGTATTGGTCACTAAATAAACTCGTGCGAAAAGTTCGCACATTTCAATTCTAATGCATATTTTTTCGCGGCCAGTCACTGATTTCTTCACTTGGGGATCGCAAAATACGCCTCTACGCGGGATTCCAACGTGTGAAATTTTTTACCTGGGATGGGATTTGAACCTGAGCACGAAAGTTTACAAGTTCATTGTGGTGCACACTACGAGTACACCAACAACCATGGCTGTCAGTCCAAAGACCCAGTTGCGTCCACATAAAAGTGCAGAGAATCGTACTTCATTAATTAAAAAAATATTAAAATATCAGTAATTGAATATAGAATTCAGAGAATTGTTCTTTAACTTCACAAAAAGTTTAAAGAAAAAATTGGAGCCGTTTTCGAGAAAATCTTGATTACGTATTTTTAGAAAAATGTCCCAATATAACACAAAATTAATGCGCATAATGCGTTAGTAAATTAGAGAAATTTGAACTACTGGAATCCTTTAAATATTCTTCCAGATATTTAAAATATAACTGGTTGCAAGAGAATCTACTAATATGGAAGTGATTGCACCTCTGTTTTTTGCATCCAATTTTTTTTTCGCACCGTATATTGTCAACGTATGACTTTACTTTTTCCGAAGGACATCGAAAGAATGGGCCGTAAGGTATAAATCTCATCACTAATTATGACAATGAAGATACGACTATCTCTTACATAAATTATAGGGGAAGTTCATGGGCTTGAGCAGGATAATCAACAAGGGGGGCCGACTACATTTCCGGACTTTCGTTTACATTGAATTTATTTATATTTATGTGTAACATATTTCACTAGCAAATAAACAATTCTACAAAGATATCAAAATTATAACTTTAATGATTGCCATTAACGAATACAAATGGTTTTCTATTGATTATATGCAGGGTTGTCAGATTCAAGAGTTCGTTCCCTATATTTTGTATAACACATTTCCTAATTTACTGGGTTTGACAAATTAATTTAAATAGTGAAACGTTATTATAATTAATTATGCTACGTTTATTATAATTTTTAAAATGTTATAACATTCATAAAATGAAGGTGGTTGCTAATGATTTCAGCTGTTTGTGGAACAACATAATGCTTTTTTTCTTCAAAAATTCCAAATGGCCTGTTTAAAAAGGGGAAAATAAGGAATCGAAATTATTAATGGAAATAAAATGCTTTATCATGAACGGCTAGGGGACTTGACAATGTTCAAAGGGAACGACCTTCTGCCCTCCCCCCTTCTACGCACACCTACGGAAAAGTTTCAATTGGTGGATAGTAGTATATATCCGTAGTTAAAATCGAAAGTGGTTGAAGTATTTTGTTTATTACGAGCCACAGAGTATGATTTGCAGTTCAGCGTTGAGTTAGGATGGACATCACATAGTTGGTAATCTGTGGTTACGTTTAGCACCCATTTTACACTCAACATCTATGATTTTTTACACTCAAATGACGATTTTGACGCTAAGAAATGTTGATATATGAGTTTATGCTGGGCGCATGCTGTTAGCGTTTGTCCTGATTTTAGTCCCTACAGTGCTAGCGGGGAATTTAAACCGAAATGGACCAAATCGATTTCAAGAACGCATATGAAAAATACCAGTTTTTAATTATGTTTTTAGCCCGTTTAATATATTTATACGCAGATTCTTGATTTGCATTCTACTTTTTTTAAAATTCAGTGAAACCTATATTAATTAATGATTTATATTTACGTGGTAAATGTTATCACTCTAATTGACGGAACTATTTCAGACCAAACAAATACACATTATAAATAATTTAAATTCTTTTGCGTTTTAAACATTCGATCATCTACATAATAATTTTAACTTTTCGCTTTTAACATTCGATACGAATGTATGAACCAATCTATTTGTGTCCAATAAGCGTTATATGTGCGTTGCCATACTAAATTTATCGAGCCTTCTACTTTAGCGAATTGGGATGCCGTGATTTGGCTGAGGAAATCGACCGACTCTGAGTCCAATATTGTTGAAAAAAGTTGGCTTAGTTCAGTGAAGTTTCCTAGATAACTGAACAGTTAACAAGAAGGTAATAAAGCTGTTTTCCGTCAATATACCGATTGTCAGTGTTGACACAACATTGCGGAAACAGAGATGTGGTACCTGGATTCCGAAATAAATAACAAGTCGGTAAGCAATATAAGATCACATGGCAAAGCCCACAAGATATAAAACAGTTTATTAAATTCTAATCTTAAATTGCTGGTGATTACAAATTAAATGACATCAGTGGTGTGGTAATGTAGGGTAGTATTTTTGGAATATATTCGTTATCCTTCATTATTTTTAATATGTATAATGATGGATAAAACTTTTTAGAGCGATTGAACAAAAGTCACCTGAAGTAGAGTCACCTTGGACAATTAAGATTTTTTTTCATGCTAAACATTTCATTTTTTGACAGAAATTGCCGCCGGAATCAAAATGGTACGGTGTGGATACTAAAAAACAGTAGTCTTTGTAGTCCAACATTTCGCATGGCCGGCACGTACAGTACAGCCGGGGACATGTGACATTTCATGACATCGCTTGTCAATGTGGGAGAAAGCGAGGTGGTTATAAACTGCTCTTCATTTCATTAAATGTCTTTTGTACTTATTGTTTTCTTAATATGTTCCCTTAGTAGTGCATAGTTTTGTTTCTTTTTAAACTAGATAAAACCCTTTCATTCAACAGTAATGCGAGAACTCTCAATACTCCCCGATGTCCGGACCCACACATGTCAGATTACACAGTCTCAACTGAAAAAGGTCGTGCATGGCGTACAACCCTAATTTTGAGGAGACTTTGAAATCATCGACTAAATGCATGAATACGAGAAACTAGTTTTCCTAGGTTTTAACACGAACAATTACTCGGTGTCACGGGTTAATAATATTTAGTCTCTTTAAAAACATATTTAGTGTGTTTACATTACGAAACAATAAATGAGAGGAGATAGATAAAGGTAACCTTGCCACAATAACGATCACACAGTAGTAAACATATTAAAAACTTTGGTGTCGAAATTTACTCTCTCAAAATTTGAAAGATCTTTGCAAGTACACGAAGGTATAGTGTTTCCAATAGACCTCTCGATCCGATCAGAAAACCTCGAAACTCTCGATCTAAAATGGTTAAATCAGACTTTTTTCAATTCGTTATTTACAGTATTCCTAAATACCACGATTGAATGGTGAAGTGACCAAAATATTTACAATTTATATCTAGAGTTAATTGAGGTATTAAGAATTTTTCAGAGGTGCCGATTTGGTGGCCTGTAGGACTTTCGGGAAGCCCCGGAATTTTTGTTCCAAATGTGACACGAACCATAATTATTTTTGCATAAAATGAAAATTCAATTATATGTATAAGGACTGTCTAACAATGTGCTAAAATAAATTAAGATTCATTTTCGTCAATAACAGTAGCTGCTTGAGAAAACAAACTTATCCTCTACTATCAAGAAGCGGTCACGACTCTCATCGTGGAGTATTTTACTCGGAAGATTTCCCAACGAAAGAAAAAGAACATTAAGAGATGTATAAAAATAATGAAATAATTATTTCAAACAAGTTATATATTAAGAATAAAAGTAATGAAATCAAAATATAAGAAGACACAGTATGTATGTTCACATTGTAGTTGGAAAAAGTATGTACAATATCTTAAATGTGACGTTTAAAACGTATATTAAGTTATGTATTGATGTGTATTAAATATGTTCAGTTTTTACTCTTATGATATTAATTAAATCAAAAAATTCAAATACAAAAATATGGAAAGTTGTAAACAAACTGAATGATTTGATCTGTCACAGACAAGTGCTTCCCAACAGCACGAAATGAGAGTGCAAATGCGGCCAGGAGACGTAACCGCCAAAGGCAGGGCCGCGGGAGGCCTACCTGCTGCACTGACGGAGGCGGGGGCGGTTGCGCGGCGATGGGCTTGCGCGCCATGAGGCAGCGGGTGCGTTCTTCCGTGTAGCCGCAATGCGCCAGATAGGCCTGCGCGACGGCGGCTGCCACCGCTTCGTACATCTGCGTGTTGTCTGGCACCGTGGGCGCCGCTGGGGCCAAGGCGACGGCCCCGCCCTCCACGCCGCCCTCGCTGCTGGTGACGCGGCTTGCGCCGCCGCCTCCGCCCCGCCGCCGCCCGGACCCGGGACACGCTCCGCACCGCGCTCGCCGCTCGCCGCCCGCGCTCAGCGCCGAGCCGCTGCCTCCGCCCACTGCGCGCCCCTCGCACCTGCTTGTCGCCGCGCCGCCGGCCTGTCGTTGTCAGATGCCCCGCGCCCTTGCATCGTCGCGCCGCTTGCCTCCACCACTGCGCCGGCCGCGCCGGGGCCGCCCCTGCTTCCTCCTCCTTGGGCGCCGCCGCCGGCCGCCGCGCCACTGGCGGCGACGGCGCTCGCATCGCCCGCGCTGCCCGTGCTGGCTCCGCCGCTACCTTCGTCCGGAGCTCGTTCGCGGGACCGTTTAGGTACGCGACCGTAGCGCACCGCTGCGAACACATGCCAAAGGCGCTCGTTAGGGCTGCGGCGACAATCGCCGGCCAAACACCTTCAAGCACCTTTGTGACAAGAAAGAAGGAGAGTGGCGGTCGCGCCTGGTATGCAACATTGAGCATGCGGTTTCTTTTCTTGGTCATATGTCGAATCAAGTGAAGGAAAATTGTAACTGATTTATTTACGAAGACATCTCTTCTAAAGTGACACGTTTCTTTGTCAATTACATTTGAAATTCACAGGAGATAAACATTAAAGTATCTGGGCGAATAATTGAAACCAAACTGCTAAAGTTGGATTGAAGTCAGGTTTACGAATGCAAATATAAGTAAATAAAAATATAAGTAAATAAAATTAATTTATTCGACATACATTATACTAAGATTACCATTCTATAAAGTTATATGACTTCAGTTAGTGTTACGAGATCAAGAAATTTTCTTCCAGAAAGCAGAGCTTAGAGTTAACTCAGAGGGTCCTCAGAGGGATTCTTTGTTTCACGGACCAAGTTTATTCCTTCCCCTCCTTACCACCCATCACGTCTCCATGCGTGCAGGAATCTCTCAACCCAAGAACGTCCCAAAGCCCTGCATCCTCCCTCCCTTCCTCCCCTCACGGCCCACCTCCTTCCCGTTACGCCCCTCCGCACCTTTTCTCCACATACGCTCGCAGGGATACTCACAGTCGCGGGACATTCCGACGGCCAGGCATTTCTTGAAACGGCAGTACTGGCAGCGGTTGCGATTCAGCCTGATGACCACACACTTGCCGTCGCGCAGGCAGCGGTACTCGATCTGCTTCTGGATGCTGCGCCGGAAGAAACCCTGGGGACATGTGGAGACAGGGCGGCGCTCAGCGCAAAGCCGCGGGGCCGAGACGCCTCGGGCGGCCACGGTGGCGGCGACTGGCCACGCGGTCGCCGCGTCGCGGGCGGCAGACGCTCCACGCCACGCTACGCCACATCGAGCCGCGACGCGTCGCGGCGACGGCGACGGTCGCCAGGTAGGACCCACCGCCGCCGCCGCCGCCAAGTGCACGCGTCGAGAGAGAAAGAGATAGAAGCCGCGGTCAGAGGGAGACGGAGAACAGCGGGGCGCGGCACCGCCGAGCAGCCAATGTCAGGGTCAAAGACCTGTTGGCCAGCAGCCAGGAGGCTACGCCGTCGGCTCTTTGCCTTTTTTTGTTTCCTTTTCTGTTTGTCTTTGCCTGCTTGACGCGGGTGCCTTTGCGACGTCGAAGTCTTTCGGGCCGGGCCGCACCTGTCCCCGCCTGTCGCACCGTGCGCTATGCCGCCGCCGCCGTCACAGCCCCGCCCACGCCCAGCCACTCCCGCGACCGTGCTCGCCCAACGGGCGAGAGCCGGAAAATGCGGAAATAACTCCGGAGATGACCCTGGAGGCGGAGGAAGCGACGGCAGCGGGCCGGTCCGGGTCACTGCTCGGGTCCGCGTCGAGCCCCTCCCCCCTCCCGGGCGGGCTCCGAGAACTAGTTTTCCCCGGAAGTGGCCACTCGAGGGATCCGCATTCGCTGAGCGACAACGAAAAAACGTGCGCCGTCTGATTCGTCGCAGTAGCTGAAACTCTAATGGAAAGAAGTAAATACTGTTTCTACGTCGAAACGACCACTCCCGCACGGCGTACCGTATGTATTTCCAACAGAAAGTAAAATAAAACACTCTCAGAACTGAATATGCCAACTCAGTTCATGCGAAATCAGTCTAAGGAATGATTCAGAAATGTGGAGTGCAGGTAAACAACACAGGTTCGGAATTGCTTAACGTCTCTTGGTCATTGCCAGAACGTTTTAAGGCCTGCGCGAGAGAGTCGGAGAACCGGAGGAAAGCAGATAGCGCGATTAAGCCAGGGGAACCGGATAAAAAAGGATCAAAGACCTACTACGGAGAGGCAAGGTGCGACAGCGAACGGCCAAGATGAACAGAGAGACGCGCGATGGATAAGAAGGCGTAGGAGGGGAAGGAGGTGCGTGGAGGGGGTAGGCGTGCAGTGGGAAGGAGAGTCGCTGCATTAGCAGCATACCAATAGGTGCGACGGAACGCGCCTTCGACTCATAGCGACCTTTCGTTGCCCATGGAACCAACTTGGGCCCCTCGATGGAAATCCTTGACGCTGCTCCTGCCGGTCAGTGGACATTAACACATCTCAGAGACTGGCATTCACCCCCACACAGTATAGTAGAATAATTAAAATTTATGATATAAACAGGCCGAATAATTAAAATATTACATAAGTATAGAAAACATTTGCTAATAAAGAAATCATATTCAATACATTCCTCATATTTATTGAAGAACATTAAACCTTGTAAATTAAAAACAATTGTGTTATACATTGTGTAATAAAAATAGCTCTGGGTCCATTGATTCTTGTAGAAAATAGAGCAATGTGTGCTTTTGCTTTCCTCTGAAAAAATATATAATGCTTCTGAGATAACTCTGTGGTACACCTATTCCTGGGCTAAATATTTACTAAATGAAGAAGGTTTTAATATTCCTACTAATGTCGTTACTTATAATTAATACATAGGATTTTGTTTTCAAGTCAACATTTATAAAATATATAGGATTTTACAGAAATTTGATGCGAAGACAGTAGTAAAGCAGCACAATACATTGAATCGACTGCGATTTTATATAATCAACATCCCTGGCTCGGAAAGGTAGTTGAATGATAACCCACCACAATGAATACTGATGGGGCTAAAACGGCACATACTGTTTCGTATTATTTGTAACGGTCGCCTCATATAATAATAGCTGAACCCTTGAGAACATTTTGCAAATTTGAACTTCATTGCATACGTTTTCGTAGATTGCGACTTGTTACTTTATTTGGTAATCACCTGACTGAGCCAATTCATGCCTCTATGAGTTGTTTTCGAATTTTTGAACATTTGTCACGAAATAACTCGACATTACGCAGACTACCCATTTGAAAACAAAATGTACACGATAGCGTTGAATATCTATTTTTAAACAACAAATTCTTCGAGAAAAATATCTACTTTCAATTAAGCAGACAGAGGAAAAGGAAAAAAAGTGAGCATACGTAATTTTCTACAATTGTCAAAAAGTTCGAAAGAAAATCAGGTACATAGCATAAATGTAACTGCACTTTACTCCATTCGGGCTAAAAGTCAAATAAAATATAACTGAGAAATTTTTGACAGAAGTTTGAAAAAGTTCGAGGAACTTGTAAATACGCTCTAAAAATTTAACGACCCATTTCAAATTCCCAAGCCTTGTTCGGCTATATCGACCAGTTCGGTCACATCAATCGGGTAATACCCATTTTTGGAAAAATCCTCTGCACGGTTTAGGCGATGTTGTTATTCATAAGCTGACAGTCGGGCAGACGGGATTTTATCAATAATTCGAAAGTTTTAATGTAAATATTTCCCTACTTATTCACATTAATACTGCCAGCCATTTCGTAGTCGCGTTAGCTTTGGTCTTTTACTTGTGGTGTATAGTTCTTAAGGGCGGTGGTTGGGATATCAAGGCCGAAAAATGTTCATTATTCAGAACACGGTTACAGCACACGGAATTCAACGGCAGAAATGTAATTGTCATTCAAACTTTCCAATATTTTTAAATGAAAGTTATTGTACATATTGCATTTTTTTAGAATTTCCCGCGCTTCATTTGCTGGAGAGTTTGAAAACACGACTGAAATAATCTTACGATACAAGATGCAATATTATAATATTACGTAACCGTTACAAATAATGCAAAAAATATTTTCTGCTTAACTACAAACACTGGTTTGCTTTATTGATTGTAATATCAAACGTGCATCAGTAGCAAGCAATGTGTAGCTGTCTGCACATTAAAGTTACTTTCCCTTATTCTACACACGTACCACTTCCTGCATGAGAAAAATTTGTTCTCAACCCTACGAAACAAAAAAGGCTTTAAGTAGTATTGAGATAAGTATTCGTTAACCAATCACGCCGGACCACACTTTGAAGATACCAACCGATCGGCTCCAAGTCGTGGGAAAGTAGTCTCAGTGCAGTAAACCCTCTCGAATACTTCAACATGCAACTGGCCAGGAGTGCACGTGTGGAGGAAACCGGCAGTGTCCATCTGTCGTCTCTCTCTCGGATCACTTTCCCTGTCTACCCCCCTCCTTACTTTCCCTGTCATGCGTACGCGGTCGCTGTCGGCCGCTGAGCAGCCGTTACCGCTACCTCTCTTCCTACCTGCACGGCCTCCCAACGACGACAGAGGTCACGAAAGGACAGGTGCAGGCGCCGGTGTGGGAGGAGTGACATGTTGAAGGGGATTGAACCGGGAAAGGTGGCTGATGTCTCTGCAGTGCCTCTGACCGGGAGGTCCTATGTTCGAGTCCCGACGATGGCAGAATTTTAGACCCTAACTAAGTCAGCTAGGTCGAAATCAGTCGCTCTCTGGAGAAATCTAGCAGCTGGCTGCTATGATAGATAGTTTTCCGGGTTTCTCCGATTAACATCAGGTGAATGCCGCTGCAGTACCCTAACAAACGGGCGCGCGATCTTTCCTTCATCTTCCTTGTCCTATCCTCACCCCTTATTTACACACACACGCACGCGCGCGCACACACACACACACACACACACACACAAACTAACATGTACTA